CTGCTGTTACTCAGGGAAGCAACCAGCCTGGGTGGGTTGTCTGATCATGCACACTGTGACAGAATCTCGAGCAACCAATTGTATCCTCAGCCGCGTGTGGATGCCAAGACAGGTGGAATGTCTTTTCTGGGTGACCAGAAGGAAGGGAGCGCCCTTGCTGCAAAGAAGCTTTCCCCTGGGAAAAGCTACTCAGAGACTGTTGTGCTCAGTCCATGGACACAAACCGTCCCAGGGGAGAAGCCCCTGGACGGTGGGAGAGGTCACAGTTTATAGAGTCCTTCACTCCAACAGTCTCCTAAGTCACCATGGTACAAACCCGTCCAAATGTAAGGAATGTGGGGGAGCCTTCCCAGGTCCTCGACACCTTGACATCTCCTTCGAAACCCACAGAGGTGGACAGAATCCCCAGGAATGTCAGCAGCAAGAACAAACTTTGCGTCCAGCACTACCCCGGTGTGATCATGTGAACATCCACACAGGACAGAAACCATATACGTGTCAAGAATGTGGGAAGGTCTTCCAACAATCCCGATACCTTATTATACATAGCAGAGTTAATACCGGAGAGAAAGCATATGCATGGAAGGACAGTGGGAAGCTCTTTGCTTCTTACTCAAGCCTTTTATTTTTTATTTTTATTTATTTTATTTTATTTTGCTTTCTGGGTCACACCTGGCAATGCACAGCGGTTACTCCTGACTCTGCACTCAGGAGTTACTCCTGGCGGTACTCAAGGGACCATATGGGAAGGTAGGACTCAAGCAAGGCAAACGCCCTACCCACTGTACTATCTCTCCAGCCCCTCAAGCCTTTTTTAAGCACAAGAAAATACATACTGGATAAAAGCTTGTTATATGTGAGGTTTGTGGGAAATGTCTTCGGTACCCGTCACTCCTCATTACACATAGGGAAATTAAGAGTGGAAGAAACCTCATAAATGTTGGTGTTTGGTAACACCATCACTCAATCCTCAGCCTTGACTCTGCATGTGAAAAATCATTCTGGAGAGAAGCCTTATATATGTCGGGGGTGTGTGAAGGCCTTTACTTGATCCGCAAAGCTTACAGTACATAGAAGAATTCACACTGGGGAGAAACTATATACATGTGCAGAATGCGGGGAGACCTTTGTTTACATCTCCACCCACTTACTACATCCTCCGATACTGCTCGTATCAAAAGGCTTACACAACAAAACTTTATGAATGTAAAGAATGTGGGAAGACCTTCTTCTTTCCCTCTGATCTTTGGAAACATGGTCAAATTCATATTGAATGACTAATAAACATTTACAGTGTCAGAACAGGACCTCTCAGTAGAACCTCTTTTGTTTTGCCAAGGGAGTGGGGAGTGCAGAAAGTGTACTTCGTGGCTGCCACAAAAGTGCCACAAGCACAATGTTTTGAACATCTCAAGTCTATGGAATCCCCAAAACTCTGGCAGGGAGTAAGAGATTGTTTGGGGTCCTTCCAAATGTGCAACAGGTTGGGTGTTTGCCTTGCACGTGGTCGACACGGGTTTGATAGCCAGCATCCCCTATGGTCACCTGAGCACCGCCACAAGTAATCCCTGAGTATCGAGCCAGCGGTAACCCCTGTGCAACATCCCGTGTGATGACAAAAAGCAAAAAATTGTATAGAGGGGGAAGATGTGTGAGGATGACCATGATGGGAAAAAGGGTCAGATAAAGGAGACAGAACTCTGAGAAATCTCTTGGCTTCCCCTGGCCAACCTGGGTTCCATCCCCCACACCATAGAAAGCCTTGCCCTCCCCACAGCTTTAGTTCTGCTTTGGCCACTCCCAAATAAATCCAGGGCCCTGGTGTGGCAGTGTTGGGGGCTGCAGAGTTGGGCAAGGATCAGGGGTCTCTCTGCAGAGAGCTTGGAGAGTCCTGGGGAGCTTCAGTAGGTTCTGGAAGGGGGAGAGGGCCAGGGTGAACATTCCTGAGAGAAAGGACCCTGGGCAGGGACGAATATATTCCATAGCGCCGTCTTGTGGTGATGGAGGGGATGAGGTGCGTCCCGGGTTTACAGGGAAGATTTCCAGAGCTGGGTTTTGCTTCAATGATTAACAATCAAGCCTCATGCAATAGAGCAGGAGGAAAGTGGGTAGAAAAGCTCTCCCCTTGCAGCAGTTAAACTGGGTCCAAACCCATGCACCCCCTTATAGTTCCGTGAACACCTACAGGGGTAATTAAGGAAAGAATATCCAGGAGTCACCCCAGAACATTGCCGGGTGTGGCCCCCAACCATAATCTATCAAACGAAAACCATAACCTCAGTTTCTTTGTCAGCGGATTCCTTCACCTCAGGCCCGGAGTAACAACGAGCTGAATCTTGCTTCGACCACACCAGCTACACATAGAACAGAGAAATGACTTTTATTGAAATGGAGGGTGATGAGGTATGGGGGTGACCAAGAGAGGAAACCTTTCAGATGGTGATCTTCGAGATAGAAGATGGGGGGAGGCAATGCCTTGTGCTCAACACAGGTCAATTCCCGGCATTATGTAGGGTTCTTGAGTGCCCGCAGTAGGACTGTTGTGGCCACCGACCCCTCTCCCCAATAAAGAACCCAGTGTCACTTGCCCAGATAGTCAGTATGGTGGGTGGGGAGGGAACGAAGATCATGTTTTTTTATGTGGCTTCAAACCCCACTAGGAATAGCAAATTCTGGATACCTAATTAAGAAACCAGAGACTCTTGTGGGGTCAGAGAGTGTGTGGGTGGGGCTGTGGAGGGCGGCAAGCATCTGTTTCGGGGGGAGGGGCACACAGTAATGCTCAGGGGTTGGTCCCGCCAATTGTTAGATAGTTCTGTTGGCGTGCAGGAGTCTATATGGGGTGCAAGAGCTCCAAACCGATGCAAGGCCCTACCCACTGTTATCCCACTATGGTCCCAGGCTGCGTGTTCGATTCTTAATGAGCCCCAGCATTGAAGCAAATCCGATGGCTGGAAATCTTAAGGGTGGGGATCTCGGGCAATGGGAGTTCCGCTTAACTGCCACGAGATGCCGCTGTGGGGCGGTTCCACAGCGTAAAACTTTCCACCCTTGTGTTAACTTCCTTGTTAGGTGTGGTGTAATTAAGGATTAAGCATGCAGCCTGGGGCATGCAGCAGTAGCAGAGCCCTTAGAGCACTTTTCTTGTGTTCTGCAGACTTGGATACCTTTGCCGGTATCCCATAAGAACCCCTAATTATGCGAAGAGTGATTCCTGAGTACAGAACCAGTTGTCACCCCTGAGCAACATCAGCTGTGACTCCCAAAATATAAAAAAGGAAAGAAATCAGAGCATCCTCAATCTGATGTTGGCAGATTCCTTCAGATGGAACCTTAGTGGGGTACCGAGATGAATCTTGCTTCAAAATTCCTCATTCTCACAGAATGGGAGGAGAACACCGTCAAAAATTTAGGGTGTCAGGTTGTGGGGTACACAATAACAGGAAACTTTATGAAGTAGTTCAGCCAGAGAATAAACAGAGGGGTGTTAGAACTTGACTTGCTCAGAGAGAGAACATAATATTTTTATTTAAAATTTTCTTTTCTTTTTGGGTCACACACGGTGATGCACAGGGGTTACTCCTGGCTCTGCACTCAGGAGTACTCCTTACGGTGCTCAGGGGACCATATAGGATGCAGGGAATTGAATGCGGGTCGGGCGCGTGCAAGGCAAACGCCCTGCCTGCTGTGCTATCTCTCCAGCCCTTTATTTAATTTTTTTAAACAATGGAAACTTGCCTTCATTGTGGCAAATGAGCTTCAATTCTAGGCATTTCTAATGTTCTCCAGAACCTCGTGGGCCCACATCAAACCCCCATAAAAATTTAACAATCCTAAGAAACTCACTTTCCTGTGCCCCACCCACTCCCTAACTGCTTGTTTTACCAGGATCAACCCTGCTGCAGTTTTCCTGATGGCCTTGTGTGTGAGAGCATTGACCACATTTGACTGGCCAGTAAAGCATCAGGGGACTTCTTATCCGAGCTCCCACACTGACCAGTTACTCTAGCAGCTGCCTCTCCACTCCCTTATTCAAATCCATCCTCCTCCCGCCACTGATTCACCTGGGTGGGGTTAATTCTTCTCTACACATCTGGTGTCTGGCCCTTTAAGGCTGCTTGTAACACCGGAAGTGACATCACAGCGGGGCCTTCCTGGTGCTTCTCTTCCTGGAAATGGGTCACAGAGTCCTTGTTCACGTGGGTGAAGGACCAAGTAGGTCCCCAGTGCGAAAGGGAACTCTGAAGGCCAATTTTGTCTTGCTGCAGGGGGTGGCCTCCCGTGAGTACTCTGAGCCTCCTCGTCTCCGCGCTGTGAGCCGCGGGACCACGCCAGCTCAAGGGGCCTATTGCGCCTGTTTTTCTTGTGTTCCCCGATATCCAGGCGGTTCCTGAGGTATGATGGAGTCCTGCGTGGGGCGGAGCTTTGGGAGGTTCATAGGGGGCTGTAGTGAGATGCGGGGGTCACAGGTGTGATTACGTGATCCTGGGGGGCTAGTGTGGCCACGGTCGCCTTCAGCTCTGCTTTGAGGCAGCCGCGGGTGGGCGCGGGGCTGAGCGCGGGGGCTGCGGGACTTGGGGTGCAGGAGCTGCCGAGGGCGGGGCCTTATCCTTCCCGAACCTTCCAGCTGACCCATGTTGGGTCCTTGCCCCAGTTTCGCTGCTGTAGTATCTCCAGATTCACTTTGAGGCGCTGAGCCGCAGCCCCCCTAAAGGCAAGAGACCCTGTTGCCATCCAGCTTTTTCATCGGCTGCCCTTGTAGGTCAGGCCCGGACGGCGGATCTGCAGGTGTCTGGGTTTGCCAATGATAATTTCCTTTTGGGGCTATTTTTGGTGTGTGGAATAGGGGGCTCTGCATTCCCGGAGATACCCTGAGGGCTTACTCTGGCTCTGACTTCAGATATTATTCCTGGCAGTGCTCTGGGGGCCTTGGAGATGCAGAGGATTGATTAGTGTCAGCAACACAAGCATCCTAACAGGTTTACTGTATGTTGGAATAGGAATATCTGCCTCCTGACATCACGTTGCAAAGTCCTACCCAGATCGCTGGTTATCGAGGTGAGTACAGGGGATAAAGGGTGTGTGTGTGTGCATGCCCTTGTGTGTGTTCATGTACTACTGGTAAAAGTGTATGTCTGTAGAAAGTTTGTTTATTTATTTATTTATTTTGCTTTTTGGGTCTCACCCAGCCGATGCTCAGGGGTTACTACTGGCTCTATACACAGGAATCACTCCTGGCAAAGCTTGAGGGACCGTGTGGGATGCTGGGAATTAAATCTGGGTTGGCCGCTTGCAAGGCAAACACCCTACCCACTGTGCTATTGCTACAGCCGCAGTAGAAAGTTTTTTAAAAAATTTATTTGCTTTTTTGGTTCACCTTACACGCAGCCAACATGGCCGACCCGAGTTCGATTCCTCCGCCCCTCTCGGAGAGCCCGGCAAGCTACCGAGAGTATTCGATATGCCAGACACAGTAACAACAAAGTCTCCAATGGAGACGTTACTGGGCCCACTCGAGCAAATTGACGATCAACGGGAGGGCCTTTACTTTTACCTTTACTTTTGGTTCACACCCGGTGATGCAACGGGTTACTCCTGGTTCTGTCTCAAGAATTGCTCCTGTGGTGATCAGGGGAAGCTATGAGATGCTGGGAATCGAACCCAGGTTGGCCACTTTGCAAAGCAAACTGCCCTACCCCACTGTTCGACCACTCCAGCTCCTGTTTTTTCTTTTTTTTTAAGAAGACAGGGGCTCCCCCATACAATCATAGCCCAAATGGTGGCTCTCTCACGGGGCCAGAAGGGGGCGCTGATGCATGGGATTTCCTGGCCTCAGAGTCCTTCCTGGCCGGGCCTGGGAGAACCTTCTGTGGGATCCGGGAGGAGTCCCCAGATCGAGGCAGGGCCGACTTTTCTCACTTGTAGCCAAGCCCAGAACTTGTGTCGCAAAAGGCAGCACAGATGCCAATGCATCTTGCTTCTCCTGGGGAGACAGAAGCATTAGGCAGTGTCCCCCAAGCGGTTCTGTGAATCAGTGCCCGAGGGTGTGGCTGGTCAGAACTTGGTAATTTTGCTCCTGTCCAGTGGTCACAATTCTGACTTCTCCTACAGGTCTCTGATCCTCAGAAAAAAACAGAGGCAGGAGAAGATGGTGAGGTGCCATCGGACACACCGACGCCAGGTAGGAGTGACAAAATGAGGTGATGCTGTGACAGGAGCGTCAGGCTTCCAGGGCTGTCTGTCTCTAACTTGCTTCAGGAAGATCCTGCCGCCTTGTTGGAGCGCCCAGCTCTCTTCTGTCTGAGGCCACGTGTATTAGTTTCATTGTATTTGCCTTTTGGATCACAAGAGCTCAAGGATTACTGGTGCTCAGGGATGACTCCTGACATGTCTCAGGGACCATATGGGGTGCTGGGCATCAAAGGCTGGTGTCTGGGTATTTTGTTTTGTTTTCAGAGCCACACGCAGTATATTCTGGGGATTATACTCTTGGCTCTGCACTCTGGCATTGTACCTGGCACTGCTTAGGGGACCCTATGGAATGGTGGGGATCACCAGCACTACCCACTATCCCCATCCCACTGTCTTGTTACACAGTCATGCTGTTTTGTTTCTTTTCATATTTTTTTTTGCGCCACAGGGGAGATGCTCAGGGCTTCCTCTTGGCTCTGTGCCTGATGTGCATCATGGGTCCCCGGGTGCGCTGGACCTGTTTGTGCCCTGGCAGCTACAGTAACTCGGGCCCCGGGATATGTGTTTCCACTATTTTGTCCTTCTAGCTCTGGAGAGCTTCTACTGCTCTATCACACAGTCCAGCATTCATTGGCTCCTCGGTTTGCGGTTCTGGGCATGTGCTGGTCCTATGGAGACAGAGCAAAAGATCTCTGGGGCCATCAGAGCTGTTGGGCTTAAGACACTTTGAGAGGCATTTGGGGTGGCCCTGAACCATGATCATAGTTCAACAGGCACATATGTACATGCACAGCTTTCAGTCGGTGGCTGGACATTGAGTGTCCCCTTCTCCCTAGAACATGGGCTGTGGGATGCAGGGAGTGTATGTTTAGTGTTTTGAGCTGAAAGCAGGGTCACTCATTTGTGTCCCACTGATTGTGTGCTCAGCACTGCACTCTCTGCAGTGCTCATAGTAGCAGTGGTGGAATTCCCTGGGGTCAGAAGCTAGACCACCACCTTCAGGAATCTTCTAGTAGAACATCCTCACTTTTTATAGACGCAGCTGTCTTAGAGAGAAGTTGGGACCCATCTGCCAGGAGTTCAGGTGGAGACTGGTTCTTCCCGAGGGGACAGACCCTGAGCCCCTCTAGGGCCTGGGGGACCTGGCTTCACAGCCCAGGGGACATGGTGGGGACAGACCCTGACTCCTGCCCCTCTTTGTATGTCGACTCAGGACACGGTGACCTTCTCCGACTTGGCTGTGAGCTTCACCCCAGAGGAGTGGACATGCCTGTATACCTCTCAGAGAAAGCTCTACAGGGACGTGATGCTGGAGACCTACGAGCACCTGTCGGCCATTGGTGAGAGCAGTGCGGGGCCGACCTTGTCTGGACAGACCGGTGTGGGCTCCCTGTGCTGGGCCGTGACTGTGTGTCCAACAGTAGCTGTGAATGTCCTGCTGAGGACAGCCATGCAGTAGCTGTTCCTCTAGTTCCTTCCCTGTTTTTTTTTGTTGTTGTTGGTGCTCACCTGGCAATGCTCAGGGCTTACTCTAAGCTCTGTCCACAGGAATCACTCTTTGTGGCTTTTAATGAATCTGGAGTGTTGGGGATTGACCCAGGTTAGCCCCGTGGATAGCAAGCTCCCCACATGTTGTACCATTGCTCAGGTCTCTCTAAAATGTTCCTGGTTCCTGCCAATGCTGAGTTCTCTGATTATTTCTTGTACTACACATAATTTCTATGTATTTTGGTTTTGCTTTTATTTGGGGCATAACTTGAATATTCTTGTCTCTGTGCTGAGGGATCACTCCTGGGTGTGCTCAGGGGCCATGGGGTGCTGAGGATTGAACATGCTTGTCAGCCACAAAGGTTGCTGTCTTAATCCTGGTACTATTTTACCTGCCCCACAACTTCAGTTAATTTATTTTTGTTTATTTTGGTTTAGTTTAGTTTTATTTTTTTTTCATTTTTATTAGTGAAACACCATGAGGTACTTTTGTATACTTATAAATTTTTGTACTTGGGTTTCAGTAATACAGTGATCAATTACACATCCCTCCACCAGTGCCCATTCTCCACCACCACTAATCCCAGTATCACTTCCACGCCCATCCCCCAGTCCACCCTGCCTCTATGGCAAGGCATTCGCTTTTATTTTGTTTTGCTTTGGTTTGAGGTTGTACTTACAAACACTTAGGGATTATTTCTGGCTGAGTATTCAGTTATTCATCCTGGTTGTGGTCCGGGGCATTGTGTTCTGCTGGGGACCAATACTGTACGTGTGTGCAGTGTCTGTGTCCTGCCTGCTGAAATATCGCACCCAACCCAGTTCATTTATTTCTTAGGGCCTCACCCCATAAGATGCTGCTCTATTTCAGTGCTCGTGGTCACTTGCAGTGGTTCTCTGTTCATCAGGACTCAGGGTTTGCCTCTGAACTATACAGTCAGGGATCAAGCAGATGACTTGAGAGACCCTACTGAATGTCAGGATCGAACTTTTTTTGACCTTGAGCAAGGCCAGTGCCTGACCTTCTGTGCTGTCTGTCTGCATCCTTTTATCTTTATTTTTATAACCAATTTGGGGCTTTGGTCGTCTTTGGCCATCTTTGGATTTGTTAAGCTTTGGGGTTTACTGCACTCAGGCATCAGTTCACGCAGGCTCAGTACATTGCATGTGATGCTGAGCCTTGAGTGACAGTACAGTGGGCACGGTGCTTGTCTTGACAGATCTGGACATGCGTTATAGCCTTACCATCTGATGAGATGCTCAAGCACCACGAAAGGTGATTTCTGAGTACACAGTCAGGGAGAAGCCTTGAGCATCCCCAGGTGAAGATCCCAAACTAGAGAAAAAAATACTAGGTGCTGTGCTGTGATCAAATCCCCGTTGGGGGGAGAAACCTGTTGGTCCTTTGCAATGCCAGGGCTATACTACTTGTGATGTTTTCTGGGGCCCCATATTCTCTTAAATTAAGACCTGAATCTTAGCTCTTGGATAACTCCAAATCTGGAGCATTTTAGAAGGACAGATTCTGTTCTTGCCATTCCCGTAATTGACTCCATTTTTATAGGGAGACATGGGGTTTACTTGTCATGTTTTCCTTGTCACGTATCCATGCTCCATCTCTGAGATGTTCAGGGCATTCTGGGGTGAAGCCTGCGGTGATCTCCTGGCTGGACGGAGAAACCCTGAGGCCGGGGAGGAGAGTCATGCGTGCAGGTGAGTGTCTGAGAACCCTCCCTGGCTCAGGCCCTCGGCAGTGTGTGGGTGCCCTGAGCACATGTGAAACGAGCTGCTGACCCTGATATCCTTGGGTTCTTGGATCTTGGCATCTGTGTTCTATTCACGCTGCTCTTCGCTCCCACAGATTGTCTGTCATGGAATAATCTTGCGCTTTAATTTCTTGGTTTTGACATTATTTTTCATCTTCTGCCAGAATTTCCATGAAATTCTCACTTCTTGGTCCCCCTGTCTTTTCCTTACCAGCCTTTTTGTACAGCCTATAATGTTGCTATACTTTCAAAAATTTTTCCTCTTTTGTTTAGTTAATAAGTGAGGCCATAATAAAACTATTTTGGCTCTGAGTGATACTAACGCAGGAAATGCGCTTGTCCTGCACACTGTCCACCTGGTTCAATAACCAGCATCCCGAATAGTTCCCTGAACATCACTGCGTATGTTCAACAAACAAGAAAAAAATGTCTTGTAGGATTGCCAAGCTTTTCACAGCAATCCTCCCCAGGGACCTTCCCTATTCTGTGGGATCTTTTGGACTGTGAGGACCATAGAGATGTCCTCAAGTTGTACTGCCTGGTTAAGCATGTTTCATTCAATAATTCTTATATTGTACATTGTGTTTCGTTTCAGAACTCAAAGCATGGCTT